ACAACAATTTCTTTTCCTTATGGTAACCAAATCTCTAGAGTGCATCCATTTCTTTCCCCCCCCCCCCCCCGCCCGCCATACGCAAAGAACTAGAGCTATTAGACTAACCAGCTTCACTTTTCAATTCAACAACAACCTCTACGTGTTGAACCCCCATTGATTTGGCAAGTAATAACATACTTTGAAACTCATTATCATTGTCCAAATTACACCTATTAATCCCAGATAGCCAATAGAACAATGAAACACAATCAGCAGATAATTCGCTCCATTTTCCACACACACACTCCACGAAATATGAATAAGACAATGCTCGCATCACATTTATTACAGTAGTACTACACACATATGAGCACACCAACAACATGAAAGTATCCATCTGCTACAAAAACATAAAAACAAAGAAGTGAACAATCAAATTATAAACACACAAATACCACAAAAAAGCTTATAACCAATGATATATGAACATGCACATCATGCAAAAAAATAGCTATGTCCATATTTTCCATTGCTAATCCCAAAATCAAACACTTTATTGCCATAACTATACATCTTTATAAATTATACAAATCCAAATTCACACCACCATATATAATGGCAATAAACAACATGCAAACGTCTCCCATAATGTTATAACCAATACTATGTGAACGTTCAAATAGTTCACACAATGTGTGCATTCACATTGTTGAACAATGTAAACATTCACCATAGCAAAAAAATAGAGCCATATCTGAACGCATTAACTGACAAACCCTACAAACCACTCAACCAACCAAAACTTGCATCTCCATCTAATATAGACAATGATGTTGAAAACAAAAAACAAAGCGTACAATCCTTTATGTACATTCACATTGTTCATGCGATGTGAATATTCACCACATTAAAAAAAACAAAGTCATATCTCAAACACATGACCAGCCAAAACCCATAATCCCATACAAGCAACCAAAACTTGCATATCCATCAATTACAGAAAATGAAATTAGAAGCAAAAAACAGAGCATACAATCTTTTATATAAATATATAAATCCAAACACAAATGAACATGCATCCATTACATACTAACGTTAAAACAATAACTTGTTCTCTCCTTTGATCAATTTTTGACTTCGCAATAATGTAAACAAACAGAGCACAAATGAAGTATTCACTCTTTATTTTCCTCAAACATCAGCAAAACCCTAACACAACCAAGAATCACACAATGTATCAACTCACAACAACATTGAAACTGGATGACAGTCAACATCCTGAATCATAGGAACTACCAAAACATAATGATAGTCAAACGTGTTTATCTTTTTGTGTAAAATATATATCAGCATTAAATATAAGGCCCTGTTTGTTTTACTAGATATAAAATGGAGGATATAATTTGATGTAAGATTTAGTCAGGATATATAATGAATAGGATATAGGTATTGGATAATATATCCCCCAATTCATGTTTGTTGACTAGATATATAAGACTGATATATATTTTCCATGTTTGTTTTACAAAATATATTGTGGGATATAAACAAGTAATTTCCAAGATTGCCCTCATAATATTATATTATATTAAATTCAAAATTTATATTAAATTATATTATATTAAATTCAATTCAATTCAATTCAATAATATTATATTATATTAAATTCAAAATTTGTATTAAATAATATTATATAAATTAAATTAAATTCAATAATTATATTATATTATATTCAAAATTTTATATTAAATTATATTATATTAAATTAAATAAAATAATATTATATTATATTAAATTAAATTCAATAATATTATATTATATTAAATTAAGAAAATATATTTAATTATATTATGTTAGATAGACAAAAGGGCAAATTAGACTTTTTAAATCATATCCCAACCAAGGGGATATGATATAATTGGGGGGGGGGGGGGTATTGTATATCCTCCACTTTTGGGGGATATACAATCCCGTGGGATATTATATCATCTTTGAAAAAAAATTACAAACATGGGATATGTGGACCCCACATGATATAATATCTAATCCCACCCTTTATATCCTGAAATCAGAAAGGGCCTAAGGGTATAAGAGTCTAACAAAATAATGTAAATCAAGAAAAATGATTTTATGGAATAAAAATATAAACACATGAGACTAAGTAAGTTACAAATTTCCTTGATAGACTTAATGGGTTAGAACACACCTAAATGAGATTTATCAATAAAAATTCTTTTTTTATTTTATTAAAAACTAGGGTAAATTACATTGACACCCCCTGAGCTTTATGTTTATTATAGTTTCCCCCTCACCTCTTGGAAATTACATCCCCCTCCATGAGGTTTAAAGTTTCATTACAGATTGCTCCCTCAGTTAGTTGACTGTTAAGTCAACTAACAGATTTTGCTGATGTCAGCAATTTAATTTTTTTAAATACCAATTTTGCCCTCATTGGGTAAATTACATTGACACCCCTCACATTTTTGAAATTATAATCCCCTCCCCAAGGTTTAAAGTAATATTACCAATTGCCCCCTCGGTTAGTATTAGTTGAAAAAAAAATTCCTTGAAAGAAGAAAAATAATTGGAAAAAAAATTAATTCAAAAAAAAAATTAATTCAAAAAAAATTTTGTTAGTCAAAATTTTGAATTTCTATTTAAAAACCAACGTAAACTCATTTTTTGAATTTACGTTTTTTCCTCAAATTTACAAACTAAGACAATCACTTATAAACCAAACAAGTTTTTATGACAGTTTTTAAAATTTTTATAAATATAAATTGAAAACAAAATAGTTACCAAACAGGCCTCAGATCGTAAAAATGTCGTAAAATTAACAAATAATTAAATAAGTTACTAATATAAGAAATGACTTATCAAAAGATTCTTAGGCTATGTATGGTTTGATTTTTAGAAAAAAAAAATTAAAAATTAAAAATTAACTTGGTTAAGAAATAAAAAATAATTATCATTTTTATATAATTTTTATCTTCAAGTGGTTAGAAATAATTTTTATAAATATAAATTGAAAACTGAAAACGAAATGGTTACCAAATAGGCCTCAGATGGTAAAAATGTTGTGAGATTAACAAATAATTAAATAAGTTACAAACATAAGAAATGACTTATTAAAAGATTCTTAGGCTATGTATAGTTTGATTTTTAGAATTTTTTTAAAAAATTAAAAATTAATTTGGTTAAGAAATAAAAAAATAAAAATTAATTATCATTTTTATATAATTTTTATCTTTCTAGTAGTTAGAAATAATTTTTTACAAATTAAATATAGTTCTTCACTTTTATTTTTATTAAATTATTTTTTTTAAATGTCAAGGAGGATCCGTATTAAATTAAAACATCAGAGGGTGTCAATATAATTTACCCTTTAAAGTATATGTAAAGGTTAAGGGTAAATATGTTATTTTAACTTAAAAGTTAATACCGTCAAATAATTACACTGACAAGGGGAGTAATGTAATTTTTCAAATATAAAGGAGGAACGGTAATAAACATAAATCTCAAGAGGTATCAGTGTAATTTATCCTAAAAACTATAATAAAATTATATAAATAAAATTTTTATCATAGATTTCCTAAAACCCACATAATAAAAGGTTTAATTCACTAAATTAAAATTTATGATGGGTTCCACAAATCTACCTATTTAGCTTTTAAAAAAAAATTTAATTCACATAATTTTTTTTTCTCACAATTCTCCTAAATGAGATGAGAAAAAAAAGATAAATTAATGACTTACACTCTTATACATAGGGGTGAGCATGGTCCGGATTGGACCGGATTGGGATAAAACCAGGACCAATCCGTTATCTACGGTTCCTAAAAAATTGAAACCAATCCAATCCGTTTAAATCATGGAACCAATCCGAACCAATCCATTTAAATACGGATTGGATCGGTTTAGGACCACGGATTCACATAATTAAATAACAAAAATATATTTATAACACTTTAATTTTATAAAAATATAAACATAGCGCTATATTAGTTCCACAATAGCAACATATTTTTCTATAATAGCGACATACTGTTCTAAAATTTAAACAACCATAAGAAAATTTGGTTTCATTATAAGTATTTAAACCATTATAAATTAGAACTAAAAACCAACAAACAAGAGTAATAAAAGAAAATATTATACGGTTTTAGGTTTAAGTTTAGATTTTATATAGAATTAAGAGAAGATACTATGGGAGAGGATGTATAATAAAAATATAGACTATTTGTATACGGTTCGGATCGGTTCCAATCCGGAACCATGGGGTTCAATCCGGAACCAATCCGTAGACTACAGATTTTTAATTCTTCAATCCAGAACCGAACCGCGGATTCAAAAAGCCAATCCAAACTTATCGGATTGGATTAGACTGGATCGGATTACGGATTTCACGGATCACTTGCTCAGCCCTACTTATACACCCCTCTTCGCTCAAAACGTTTCTGTCAATCTTATCACGTCACTAAGAAGATTTGTTAAAAAAATAAAATTATATGAAGATAAGTTATCTAAAAATCTACAATATAAATGATTTAATTGACTAAATTAGAATATTTATATAGTGAACCCCACAGATCTAACTACATGGCCCCACTATAAGATAATGACTAATTAAATGCACCAAAAGATTTTTTTTATTTTAATTTTTAATGAATTACAAAAATAAGTAATAACTCAAGTTATACATGGCCCCACTATAAGATAATGACTAATTAAATGCACCAAAAGATTTTTTTTTAATTTAATTTTTAATGAATTACAAAAATAAGTAATAACTCAAGTTATGGGAATCACTTCAGTCCATATTACTAACTTTAAAATTAAATTAAATTATTTTTTTATTAAAAAAAAATACTCTTAATCTATATATAAACTTGATGCATGCAGTCAGAATGGAGGGGACCCTCTAGTCTAAAACAGAAGGGGACTCTCTCTGTCTCTCGCTCTCAAAGAAATCTTCGAAATCAGCAAAAGAAGAATAAATAAATAAATAAATAAAAATTATGGAATCGCAATCGACTTGTTCGAACTCAACTGATCAACTCAACCGAGTCTCCGCCACTCAACTCGGTTCCGATTCATCCAAAACCCGCAAACTCCACTCTCGGCGCCGTTCATCCCCATTGAAGAAGGATACGGTGGAGGGTAGAGGCCATCGAGTTCGAGTCCCGGCACTCTGCGCCGCCCGGATCTTCCAACTCACCCGCGAACTCGGCCACCGCAGCGACGGCCAGACCGTCGACTGGCTCCTCCACCACATCCACCCCTCTCACCTCCCCGCCACCGATCCCAATCCCAATCCTACTCCTCTTACAACCACCGCCGCCGCCGCGGCTCCTTCGCCGGAGCTGGATCGGTTCCCGAAGGAAGGCGCCTGGGAGAACATGTCGTTCACGTCGCTGTTGTTGCTGCAAGAAGAGAGAAACTGAACGCCGACATGCTGCTGCTATTGCTTGTGTTGTTTATGATCAATAGGTTTTTTGGGGAATTGGGAAATTTTTATTTTAATTGTTTGGGAATGTCAGGGCTAGGATTTTGCTTATGAAATTTTGTTGATGGATAGCTCAATTGGTTGATTGAGATTCTCCCCCTATCCCCATGATCAATGTAACCATATATATATATATATATTTTTTATTCACCTGGTGTCCTGACCAACTTGTTCGGGGAATTTATGAAATTAGCTTCAAATTTATTTTTATTATTCATAAAGTTGGATTTATGAAATTAACTTCAAATTTTTTTTTTTTTTAAATTCAACGGTTAGTGTTCCGATCAATTTACGTAAAAATTTATGAAGTTGGCTTTAAATTTTTTTGTTTTTGATTCAATGATTAGTGTCCTAACTAGCTTATGCGAAAATTTACAAAATTAGTTCAATTTACGTAAAAATTTATGAAGTTGGCTTTAAATTTTTTTGTTTTTGATTCAATGATTAGTGTCCTAACTAGCTTATGTGAAAATTTACAAAATTAATTCTAAATTTTTAGCCGTTAGTATCCCAATCAACTTCCCCAAGAATTTATGAAATTTACTCAAACAATTAAGTCCTTACAATGTATTGGTGTGCTCGTTAGTGTCCAAAACCAAAACACTTTATTGAATAACATGCCATTTCAATTGGTCTAATAGTTTTATGTTAGTAATATTTTTGGTAGATTCAAAAATCATTTGAAAAAAAAAAAAACTTATTTGACAAATTATTTCTCAAAACTATTTTAGAAAAATTAACTCAAATTCTTCTTAAAATAACTCAAATTTTAGGAAATATCATCACAGCATTGTTTTTTTTTTTTTTTGAAATTATCTTTTCACAAAAATGAAATGATATGACAACAATATTATGTTTGAATTTTAGATAAGTGGGAAAGGAAAAAGAAATATAAAAGAAATAAAATTATTTTTCAACACAGTCAAAACCTTCTATTGATCAAGCTACACCATTAAATTGATCACTTATTGCAGGGCCTCCAATGAGGACAAAATGTGACTTTAACCACCACTTCACCATGAAAGCACCATGACACTATCATACGTATTTTTATTTTATTACTAATAATGGTATATTTTTAAAACATCAATCAAAGCTTTTTTGAAATTTTCATCTTATTTTTTAGTTCAAATCTAGATTAAAAACCCTATTTGGGGATTTAAGTTTATAGCAAAAAAATCACTATAAATTGTCGCATTACTCTCTTTTACTTTTTTTACACGCTTTTTCATAAAAAAAATCAAAATATCAATTAAAATAGTCAATTCCCAAACACAAGCATGTTCCAAACACGTATTCCACCATTCAGGATCACCTTGTCATTTTTTTTGTTTCAGCCACGATAGTTAGCCACTATAAATAAAATAAAACCCAAAGTCCAGCCTAGGATGTGAAAAGTAAGGACCTTGGGTCTAACTTTATTTGAGGTCACAGACCACAAATAACTGCGGGGGAAAAAAAAAAGACATGGTGATCTAAGAACACGGAATAGTGACTTGTTCTACCAGATGCAGAATTATGTGCAAAACAAACACTGCAAGTATGCGCGCCAGTACTGAATATATTTACATTAACAACCAAACATCATAACAGGTTCAATATTACAAGTAATAGGCTACAAAGAAAAGCAACCAAGCTCAAGACAACATGGGGCTGAAAAAAGAGAGGATAAAGGTCTTACATGATAGCAAAAGGAAAATTAATCCAAGTTAGCCAACCAAACCAATCTCCTTTCAGCAGACATTGCCATAAACATCTCCCTCCAATCTACATCCTTGAACATCTTGATTGCCTTTAAATAGGTACTTCCATCCACCCCTTCAATTGCTTCTAGACACTTGACACAATTGGTAATCGAGAATGGACAAGCTTGAGGAGATGCCTCAAGTCCATGGAAGGTTGGGATCGTCGCCTTCATAATTTCAACCCATTTTCCATCAGATGTCCCTGAGGGGACTGAAGCTTCAGTCCATTCCTTCAATGCCTCACCCGCAACTTTTGTTCTTGCTTCCCTCTTTACTCTAAGACGGCTTGTCGGAGAGGGAGATTTTTGACGCCGTCGTCTAGTACTTTGTGAGGGATAATCTCTACCATTGCTACCGTCACTTGGGAAAGCAGATGGAGTAGCGTTTGTTGATTCATCTTCCACATCCAATTTATATTCACCGACCATTGGATACTGAGTTAACGGAAACACATCTTTGTAACTTGCTGTTAGGTCACCAAATATGATCCCTAACTCAGTAAACATTGGGCACCCTTTTTTCCGGAATCTTTTTATATTTTTGTTTCCCTGGGGAATGAAAAATGTTTCGGACCTCCACCGAGGGTCGACCCCATTCTTTTTATATTTTTGTTTACCTACATTAGAGAATACACAGCAATGATCTAATGAAGCTCTTGAAATAAAAGTGTCTTCAACTTCAATTAAAACAATAAGTGCTCACCTTTATGTATGATTCCCAAAGAGCATCAGTTGCAGCTACGGTATTCAGCACAGGGTCCCAACTAAACCCAGGTTCTTTCAACAGCCTACTAAAATCTAGATAACGGGTCCTCAGCTGGTTAAATTTATTTCTGAACTGAGAATTGTTGTACCTCTTGTTAGTTTTCTCACAGAATTCTTGTTCAATATGTTTCCAACCTTTCCTTGAAAAGGTTGTTGCAGATCTATTTCCTTCGTGAACCTCTCTAACCATTAGCTGAATAAAAAGTTTCTCCTCCAAGGCAGTCCATGTTGCAGGGTCAGGCTCAATTTCTAGTTTATCTCTTCCAGTTATTCTGAATGCCATCTAAATGAGAATATGAAATCACATGTAAGCATCTTCATAATTAGGGGAACTCTTTTCTTTTTTAATCTAAATCATACCTTAGCCCCTAGAAGTATCAAAACAATATAAGGTAGCATATCAATGTTCCACAAAGAAAAGAAAAGAAAGAGTATCAATGTGTCTGACATATGGTGAATGAGTCCAGTATAAAGTATAATAATTACTCAACTCAGAAGTCAAAATCCAACACAACTTAAAAAAAAAAAAGAGTAAAATTATTAGAGACATAGTATTTGATGGTTCAGCATTGCATGATAAACCAAGTAACGGCAAGTTACGTTTTGTTTCTTAAAATTCATACTACCTCGTCCAATCAAACTAAGACCTGAAGTTCTGTTAAGTATATAAACTCAGCCGTACTCTCTTTTTCTTCTTCCTTTTAATCTTTCTTTCTCTTATGCAAATCTAACATGGGATCAAATCTTCATCTTCCTCCTTGAAGATTTCTTTTATTTTTTTCTTCTTTTATTCTTTTTCTTCGTCTTTTCCTGTACACTGCACCAAAAAAATAAGAAATAAAAAAAATTCCTCCACGGTCAAAATTTGATGGGTTTTCAGCCTAAAATTTTATTTTTATTTTTTGAAGATTATTTGAGTGTTTTTCCATTTTTTGCTGTTTTTTTTTTTTGGGAAAAACTGGTTGATTTTCGGCAATCCTTGCTGGGGCTGTTTTTGGCCTGATTTTTCGCTTCCTCCCTCTACCTTGGGAGCCGACTGGATCTGTTGGAGGGCTAGGAGTCCTGGTTTTGATGATTTGGCAAGACTCCTCTTTGTTTCTGCCAGTTTCTCAGTTTTGGCAAGTTTTTTCCCAGTTTCTGTCAGTTTCGGCTTCTCCAGCCCATGTTTCGGCTCTGTTTTTGTCTCTAGAGGTAACCTATTGTTCCTAAGTTCGGTTTGTGGATTTGCCTCTCTTTGTTTTTGCTGTTTCCAGGGCTGGTGTGTGGTTTTCTGTTGTGTGGCTTTAATTTTCAATGGTTCAAGGTGAGACTTAAGGATCCTAAGGTTAGTGAAGAGGGTGGTACGTCTACAGTTAGTAAAGGTGGTGGGCTGTATCGTGTTATTACTCTTAACGACAGTCCCTCTCTTCAAATCAATCCTGTCAAACTGGATGATTCCAACTATCTGATTTGATCACACTCTTGTAGCCTCGCTATTGCTGCTCGCCATTTGACTGACTACATTACTGGCTCTCTTCCTATACTGGCTCTCTTCCTACACAGTTTGATGATGACTCCTTGCGTACTCAAAGGATTTCTGAGATTGCTCTAGTTATGACTTGGCTAATATGCAGCCAGCCATTAGTCGGAGCTTCCTCTTATTGGATACTGCTCATAAAATTTGGACAGCTACAACCCAGATGTACTCCTAACAGGGTAATGATGCATAGGCGAATGAGTTGAAGAAGCAGTTTTGGGGCTTGGATCAAAAGGATAGGTCACTCGCGATCTACTATGCTAAGTTGAGTAGTTTGTGGCAGGAACTAGATTATTACCAGAGTTTCCATGCTGTTTGTTCCAGAGATGCCACTTTGTTTCAACAAACCGTAGAAAAGGAACGGTGTGTATGACTTTCTTGCCAGCCTTAATTTGGAGTATGATCAAATTCGCATCCAGGTGTTAGGTCGTTCACCTTTTCCCACCCTACGCGAGGCTTATGCTCTTGTCTAGCAAGAGGAGAGTTGACGTCGTGTTATGGTTCATTCCTCTATTCAGGATCGTTCCACTTTGGTTGTTGCTCCTCCCACTCGAGCTACTAGGCCTATTCCTGTTCAATCTGGTAGACATGGTACACTGGTTGATTGAGATCAATTTAAGTGTGACTACTATGGGAAAGACAGACATGATCGAGAGCATTGTTGAAAACTGAATGGCCATCCTACTTGGGGCCATGGCCGTCGTAGTATAGCTTGCCCCCAAGCTCATGTGTCTGCGATTGCTGCTAATACTTCTTGTAAGCCTCGTACTCTTTCCTAGGATGAGTTACAGTTACACACACTCAAGCGTTTGATGGCTTAACTTGATTCTCCATTTACCATAGTTTCTTCTACTTCTACTTCTTCCAATTTTGTCCACACAGGTACTCCTAATAGTGCTCTTAGTACATCCTTATTGCCTTCTTGGATTATTGATTCTAGTGCCACCGACCGTATGACAAGTGCCTCTAGTCTTTTCTATTCTTATTCTCCTTGATTTGGCCGAGATAAGGTTAGAGTAACTGATGGCACTTTATCCTCTATCTTTGGCAAAGGTTCGATTCATTGTTCATCATTACTTTCTCTTTCATCTGTGTTTCATATTCCTTATTTTCCACTAACTTGTTTTCTGTTAGTAGCCTTGCTACTTCTTTAAATTGGTCGGTGACCTTTTTCTCTATTCATTGTGTCTTTTAGGAACTGGCTATGGAGTAAATGATTGGCAGTGGTAAAAAACATGATGGATTGTATTTTCTAGATGTCGTTCCTTCTGTTGTCCCATCTCAGCCTCTTAAGTGCACTACCGGCTCCTCTCTCCATCTCTTCCATCAGTGGCATCGTCGTTTGGATCATCCTTCATTTAGCATTTTAGAGAAACTTTTTCCTTATTTAGTTCGTGATTGTCATAAGAATAATTTTGGTTGTGATGTTTGTGAACTAGCAAAGCATAAACGTACTTGTTATCCTTTAATTAATAAAAGAAATATTTTCCTTTTATGCTTATTCATACCGATGTGTAAGGCCCTTTCCCTGTGGTTTCTACTTCTGGGTATCGATGGTTTGGTACATTTATTAATTGTTATTCCTGTGAGACTCGGATTTACTTACTTCGAACTAAGAGTGACGTATTTTCTTGTTTCCAAACTTTTCATAAAATGGTGACCAATCTTTTTAATGCTCAAATCAAAAATTTTCAAAGTGATAATGATACTAAGTATGTTGATGGAGCTTTGGCATACCTAGAGGAGCATGGCATCCTATATCAGACTAGTTGTGTTGGTACTCCTCATCAAAATGAAGTTGTTGAACACAAGATGGCCATCCCCTTGAAGTTGCTCACTCTTTCTTGTTTACCATGAATGTCCCTAAGTCTTTTTAGAGTGATGTTGTTCTTACCACTACTTACCTTATCAACCGTGTGCCTTCCAGTGTCCTCTAATTTCATATTCCTCTTCAACTTCTTCCTGTGGCATATCTCACCTCTTCTCTTCCTCCTTAGGTTTTTGGGTGTGTCTATTTTGTTCATCTACAACCTCGTACTCGTGGGAAACTTGATCCTAAGGTTGTGCTTTTTGTCTTTATTGGCTATTCTGCTACTCAAAAGTGATACAAATATTATGATCCTCACACTCGTAAAGTGTATGTTAGTATGATGTCACTTTTAGTGAATCTGAGTCCTTCTTTACTTCTCCGCTATCTCCGCAAGGGAAGAGTGTTATGGATGAGATTGCAAATGAGGAAATGGCACATCAACATGAGTTATCATTTTTCCTTCTGAGCCAGCAGATTGTTATTTGTGGCAAGCGGGAGCCTAATAGTTCTCTTGATGTGGAGCCTGACATCGGTGGTCATTTGGACAAGGTTGATCTTAAGACTTATTCTCAACATCCGAAAGAGTAGACTTCCCTTGTGCCAGCAGACCAATCATCGTCCCTCATGCCGGGTTCCAAATCCTGTTCCAACGATTCTAAAGGTAATGCAGCCCAGTCTATTCCTCTACTTGTGGTTGATAGTCCTGTCGTTGATGATTTGAGTCTTTCTATTGCTCTTAAAAAAGGGGTTAGGGCTTGTATTCAACATTTCATTTCTAAATTTGTGTCATATGATTCATTGTCCTCTACATATCGTGTTTTTATTTCATCTCTGTCTTCTGTGTATATTCCCTAGGGTTGGAAAGAAGCTATCAATGATCCTAAGTGGAAAATAGCTATGGTAGAAGAGAAGCAAGGTTTGAGCAAGAATAACACTTGCGAGTTGATACTATGAAGCCCAGGTACAGGTACGGGTACGAGTATGAGTACTAGTACTAGTATGATACGGGTACATCAATATGGTAAAATTTTTATAAAAAAAAAAGTACGATATGGGTACGGCTTTGGTATGTTTATAAAAAAATATTTATTTTTAATTTGAAGTAATGCAAAAATTGATTAAATCTATTAATTTGTTAATATCCAACCTACAATTAACATTTAATGCCAAAAGTAAATGTATAAACCAAAATTAAATGTTGTTATATTAAGTAACTTAAAAATCATTATTTAATTTTAAAATCATACTAAGTATAAAACTACAAATAAAAAAGAAATCTAGTGAAATGAATTTTACGTCTATAGTTTTAAGAAAATATTGTCTCGACTGAGATACGGTACGGCTTGGGTATATACCCGATATGTACTTGGTACGGGTATAGCATGTTTGTCAAAGTACCCATGCTTCATAGGTAGCATATAAGTGGGTGTTCACTATTAAACAAAAAGCAAATGGAACAATTGAACGGTACAAAGCACGACTAGTAGCCAAGGGATTTACTCAGACATATGGAATTGCTTATCAAGAAACCTTTGCTCCTGTAGCGAAGATAAATTTCATTCGAGCTATTCTCTCATGTGAGGCTAATTTGGGATGGCCTATATTGCAGTTAGATGTGAAGAATGCATTTCTCCATGGTGATTTGGAGGAGGAGGTATATATGGATGCACCACCAGGATTCTCATCTTAGTCTACAGTTGGGAAAGTTTGTAGGTTGAAAAAGGCTTTATATGGTTTGAAACAATCTCCTCAAGCTTAGTTTGATAGATTTCTAAAGGCTATGTTGAAATTCATGTATAAACAAAGCAATGCAGATCATACAACGTTTGTCAAACGCAATGCAAATAAGGTAACTGTGCTTATAGTATATGTGGATGACATAGTTAACAGGTAATGATGAGAAAGAAGTGACACATCTTAAGATGTTAGCCAAGAAATTTGAAATCAATGACCTTGGTCCGTTGAGGTACTTTCTTGGTATTGAAGTTGTCAAATCTAACAAAGGCATCTTTATTTCTGAGAGGAAATATATCCTAGATCTTCTTGAGGAAATTGACATGTTAGGCTGCAAACCTACGGATTCGCTAATTGAGGCTAATCACCATCTTTGTAGTGGCGTTGGTGATCTTGTGGAGAAGGAAAGGTACCAAAGACTTGTGGGAAGGCCTATATATCTATCCCACACACTGTTTTAAAAGGTTCTGGGCGCACTGAAGCGATAAGGTCTCCTATAGCCTAAGCGCGAGGCGAGGTGCGCACCTTACCAAAGAGAGGCTCAAGCAGCAGAAGAAAAGTAAAATTATAAAAATAGGCAAAATTTTCAACATAACAAATATATATAGAATTCCACAAACATAACATTCAATCTTTTAAAAACTAAAAATATAATATCCAACAAAAGTTATTAAGTATCACGTTCACATCCACCAAAAATCTCAAGTTTTAAGATCATCCACATAAAAAGAAACAGAGGAACCAACACTAGTTGCATTAAAAGAAACAAAGGAGAAACAAGCCACCCTTTTGCATGCACAACTTCACAAGCATAACATAGAAAAAAAAACAAAGAGATAACACAGAGAAGAAACAAGAGAAGAAGAAGAGAAGAAAAATAAAAAAATGAAAAAACTGAGGCAGACCCAACGAAGAGAACCCATCAAAGAAGAGAAAAAGAATATAAGAAAAGAAGAAGAAGAGAAAAAATAAAGGCAGAGAGATAACCCAACCAAGTGAACCCATTGAAGAAGAGAAAAAGAGTACTAGCGAAGAATAAGAGAAGAACATAAAGAAGAAGCCAGAGTCATGTCGTCTTCTCACTTTCCGATCGCTTTTTTTAATCTTCTCCACCTAGTGATTTTTTTTTAATCACTTTCTACTCTCTTTTGACCACGTTTGGTCATTTTATATTGAAGAGTTTTGATTCCCTTTGGGTATGCGTACAAAAAAAGTACTTCATCAACAATTGAAATAGAAAAATAGGTAAAGCCCATGAAGCCCACGCTTCGCGCCTCAAAAAAAAGCCCTCGCCTCAACGCCTAAGCTGCACCTTGCGTTTTGCGCCTCGCCTCGACCTGTTCAAAGCATGCTTAGGTGCGTGCTTAAAACACTAATCCCACACTCATCTAGATATTGCCTATGTAGTTGGGATAGTGAGTCAATTTATGCATGATCCGCGTGCAACTCATTTAGATGTAGTGTATCGCATTTCAAGGTATCTTAAATCTGCTTCTTGAAAAAGAATTTTATTTTCCAATCATGATCACTTGAGATTACAGGCATTCAAAGATACAGATTGGGCTGGTTCTATAGATGACAGACAATCTACCTCCAATTACTGTGCATTTGTAGGGGAAATTTAGTCACCTAGCGTAGTAAGAAGCAAGCAGTGGTGTCCAGATCTAATGCAAAGGCAAAATACCCTTGGCGTATGGTACACGTGAACTGATGTGGCTCCAGCCCTTGTTCAGTGATATAGGGTTTGTTTGTAGTGAACCCTTTGTTAGTTTTCTGAATAAAACTGTATTGTGGGGGCCAAATTTAATCAACGTGATAGAAAGCCCGACAGCAGGCCCATTAGAGAATGGGGCCGTATACAAATCGGCCCTACCCAGAAGCCCACGTAGCAACGTATGCAAATCGGCCATGAAAAGAGCCGAATGGAAGCCAAAGGACCAAGCTGGAGAGTCGACTAATTAATTACTTGTCGAGTGTGGGCCCAACCATGGGCCCCAAAGCAGTATAAAAGGAGGAGCCCCGATCAAGGACTGGTATGTGAGAAAGTAGTAGATAACTTACAAGAAAAGTAAACACAGAGACAAAAGGACTAGCTTGCTCGTCTGAGGGCTAATTCCGGCACCCCCATCCGAAGCATTTGTTCCTCTTTCAGGTACCATTTCAAGGACTAGGAAGGTCTCTCTGGATCAAAGAGTATTCCTAAACCCCTTTCACCACAATTGGCACCGTCTGTGGGAAAACTCAAACGCATTCATGGCAGACGTAACTGATGATCCTTCGCTCGTTGCTGACGATGGTATACCAAGAGATAATGTCACACCAAGAACCATGCTTGGTCCGGAGAATATCACCACGCGAAGGGACCTGAACTTCGGCCTAGTGGCTCAAACTTCGCCTTTCACCTCGATGTAGGAAACCATGCAGACGATCATGGATCAAGCAAAACGATATGAACGTCGTCTAGAAGAACTAGCAGCTCATAACGAACATTTACGTACAGAGTTGGCCCTTGAGTTAGCCAAATCCCAACAAACCGCACCACGTCATGACCAGGGTCGGTCACCAGAGAAGAAGGATGATCAACGGCGTCGGCATTGGAAACATCATAGTAGCAATGCGTCCGACTCGTCATCTCAGGAACCCAGGAAGAAGGGGCGAGTTGAGATGTCCAGCTCATCCGAGGGAAGTCTGTATGTACGGCACAGACGAGGAAAAAAAGATGGTTCGAATGAAGAGGATAAACACGATCCTTTCGTACAACGCATTGCAAGGGCTGCACTGCCTAAAAAGTTTAAAGCACCAACATTCACCCTATATGACGGTAAGTCAGACCCTACAGATCATATTCGTCATTACAAATAAGCGATGACATTGCATGCTAATGATAAAGCACTCATGTGCCGAATGTTTCCAAGCAGCCTAGAACCATTGGCCGTTAGATAGTATTATAAACTGGAGCTGGCCTCAATAAAAAGTTTTCATCAACTCCAAAAATCCTTCAGGGCAAGATTCATCACCAACGAGGTCCAGCCAAAGCAAGCCGACTCTCTCTGGGTAATGCAAACTAAACCAAAAGAGACCCTCCGTGAATATTCGGCGCACTACTAGGAATGTTTCAACTTGGTAGACGATGCTTGCAATGACTCCATGGCCATCACTGCCTTTAAAATGAGATTGCATCGCGATAGTTCCCTCAAAAGCTCGTTGACTAGACGGCCTCCCAAAACAGTTTGGGCGCTAATAAAGAAAGTTAAGAAGTATTACAAGGTGGAAGACGATGCCCTTTGCATCAAGGCCGGACAAGAAGTCGTGAAGTCGGCACCATCGAGTCTAGTTCAGCCGATAAGCGTCGTATCACCAGGAAGCCCTAAACCGCGGGGCCGGGCAAAACAAGACAATCGGAGGGATTCGAGCCGGTCAAGTGAACAATGTTCGCGCCGTTCAAATGAGCAGTATCAAGTGGATAGCAGGCGCCCCAGACGTTCGGACAAGAAGTATACTGAATTGGCAAAGCCGATCAGCAAGATCCTATCCAAAGTCCAGCATCTACCGTTCTTTAAGTGGCCGTCCAAGATGATTAGACCCCCTAACACTAGACAAAGGGATAGGCGGCGTGAATATCACAAGGACCATGGCCATGAGACTGACAGCTGTTATGCACTGAAAGACTATTTGGAGGAGTTGGTGCAAGATGGCCGACTGGCACAGCATGTCCGTAAGGGTAATCCACCAAACACAATAGCTCTACGCTCGAATTCACCTCTACTTGGTGTGATTCACATGATATAGTCTACCACCGCCAACTCAGGTACATACGATCCAGCTACAACCCAGCCCATCCAAGTCGTTCACACCAGCCAAACGACCTCATGAGACCGACAAAATCAACTTCAACGACGCCGATCTTGAAAGGGTAACGCTCCCCCACGCTGATGCCCTTGTCGAGTTGCGCGTAAACAGATTCGTCATCGAACGCATTATGATCGATCAGGGGAGCACCTCGAAAATAATGTATCACAAGACATCTATTAAACTCAGCTTCATCGATTCAGACTAGCTATCGACCGCATATCCCCTGTTCGGCTTCAACGCTAACCCCGAGTACCCTTTGGGCAAGATCACACTATCAGTACGTGTAGGTACCAAATCAGTCGACGTGGAGTTTCTGGTCGTCAAACTTCCATCACCATACAATCTCATCATGGGGAGAACCTAGTTGCACACAATGCAGGCTGTACCAAGTACCTACCATCAGCTACTCCGATTCCCAACGCAACATGGCAATAAGCAAATTCGAGGTTCTAAAAAATCGACAAAGGCATGCTATCTTACTGCTTCGG